GAGCGGCGGGATGAAAATATGCGAGGCCTCGGGCTTGTCGGGCTATGATATCATAGGATACCGTTCTATGACACCTAGAAGATATTTGGGAAGCGGATTTCGTGGGGAGGTGATTGAGGAAGTGCGAGGGGATGAAAATATGAGGGTCCTACAACATTTCGATTTTGGTAGGCGTCGTTCGGCAGCTGTCCCTGCTGAAAACAGCAAAAAGAATCACAAAATGATAAGGTACCATCAGCGCGGAGGTTCCATTATCTGCTCCTAAGCAAGATACATACACACTACTTGTTAGAAAAAAATGGTTGAAATGTTGGATTTGAAAATTTAGCAAGATAAGAATTGTGTTAGAAATGATTAATTAAAAAAAAATTTTGGTCTGGGAGTTGGGTTAGATTGTATGAAATCTTGGTTAAGGTATAGGAAGAATCAATCCCTAACAATTTAGGGTCTATCGATCTCTAATACAAGATGATACCGTTTTAGGGCTCCTAAATAAGTATTTGGAAGCGGATTTTGTGGGAGATTGTTGTAGAAGAGCGAGACATGAAAATATGTGAAGTTTAAGGCTTGTCAGGCTCTGATATCAGATGATAACATTTTTGAGCTCCTAGAAAATACTTGGGAAGCGGATTTCACTGGGAGATGGTTGTGGAAGAGCCAGAGGATGAAAATATGCGAGGCCTAGGGCTTGTCGAACTCCGATACCAGATTATATCATTTTAGGACTCCATGAAGGTATTTGACAAGTTGATTTTGCGGAGAGGTGGTTTTGGAAGAGCAAGGGGGTGAAACTATGTGAGTCCTATAATGTTTGGATGGATTAGGTGTCGTTTAGCAGTTGTCTCTACTGAAAACAATGAGAAGAACCACAAAATGATGAGGTACGAGCAGCGAGAAGGTTCCACCACATGTTCCTAAGCAAGATAAAGACATATCACTTGCTAAAAGGAAAGGATACAACATTCTGAAGGGCATAAAATAGAGAATAAAGTTTCCCAAAACAATAACAATAATAAAAAGTATAAGAAAATAGAAAATAACAAGATATAAATAGTTTTCTCCTAAAAAAACCCCCAAGTAAAAGTAATAAAATAGGAAAAAGATCAGAAAAAAAAAATAATATATGGATCGATGAGCACATCCTTGATCCAGTCGGGTTATAGGCACATCACTTGAGAGGATCAAGGATATTGCATTCAAGCAATAAAAAAACTAGAGAGAATAATCACTATACATAAAATCAAAACAAAAAGTGTCCAAACAACATATTTAAATGTCCAAATGCAGAAAAAATCCTAAAATAGTTCTCCTAGAGAGACTCACTCGTTTCGCAAAAAAGGGTTCGCAAGATTTGGGGAAACAGCAGAACACGAAGTATCACGGAAAGGGGATTGCAAATCCCGTCAATCCCGTGTGGAGCGGTCACACGTCAGACTGGTTCAACATTTCCAGCCCTCATGGTTGTATGGCCCTTTAGGCAAATTAATTAATTAGGGTTTCTTCAGCCTTTGGACATTTAAATATGTTGTGAACTTCAGTTTGGAAACTTTTTGCTTTGATTTTATGTATAGAGATTATTCTCTCTAGTTTTTTTCTTGTCTGAGTGCAGTTTCCTTGATCCTCTTAAGTGATGTGATTGTAACCCAATTGGATCTAGCTGGTGATCTCCCCTAGACATCCGAAAACCTTTCCATATCTCTGCATCCGCTGTCTACCTGCCTTTTTTCTGCATCCATCCTGCTGTCAAGCAGAAGGTGCCCCCATTTTCAGCCGTCACTGCCATTTTCCTCTATGTTCCTCTTCTTATCCATATCCTACCCATCCCTTGATCCTCCTACACTGTCAAAGAACACTAGCTCAGTGTCAGAGCATTTATGCCAATGCTTGATGTTGTTCCACAAAGCACTACATTCCACAAATCATGACACCAGGCAAGTAAAATTGGCCAAAGTAATTATTTAACAATTCTTAATTTGAAGTTGACCTGGATATACAGGTGATGGTGTGGTTCTTGCCACTATTCATTTAAGAAAATGGAGGCCGTCTGGAGAGGCTGACCTGCACTTTTTCTGCTTGTGGATTAGCAATTTTGGCCTCATCTTACCTCTGTCACTCTCATGTACAAACCATGTGGATATGAATTGGTGTGAAATTGTGGAATGAGATTAGCAATTTGTTGTTTAACTGATTTGGAATTTCAAAATTAATAGAGAACTTTTTTATCTCATGGAATAAATTTAAGCTCAGAATAAGAGCAATCCTATGCAAATCTTTTCAATCAATGTAACGTGAGTCCAACAGTTCAACGCATGTAATTCATAAATTTTAGGCTTGATAAAAAATTCTCTTTCAGTTTTACAATTTTCTGAGAGCATGTTCAATAAGTAATTCCTTTGAGTGCGCTGTAAACACTAATACCTGGTTCTAAGAAAAGTCATCTCTTTGTACAAGCATGAAACTTGATTTTTCTTGACCTTGGTAAATTTGTTCTTCGTATGTTTCTTCTACATAATTTGTTATTGGTTAGTTTAAATTGATTTTAGTTGAAACTTGATACATCAGAAATCTACTTTTCTGGAATTCATTTACTCACTAACTTTATTGATGTACAAATTTTAGCTGAAATTCTTCCAAATTTGCTATCATTTCATTATCAATTCACCTTAAAAACAATTATTATTTATCTTCATTTAAACATAGTGAATTGCTGACTTCATTGACAGCTTGGAATTTGAGATTCTTCTTCTTTTTTTTTTTTTTAATTCAAAGAATAATAATCGCATTAGAAAACCCTAATGCTAAGTCACCAAGCAAAAAAAAAATCAAAGCCTTTATATTGTGCCACAATGTCACAGACAAGTTGGCCTAATTATAAGGTAACTTAACAGATCATTAAAAGCAATTTGAACTGCTTTGCAAACTTAATTGACTTAATTGATGAACAGATAAAATCAAATACATGAAGACATTAATTTGATCATCTGGAGAGATAATTGCAGTCTTTAACAATGATACTTATGAAATGATTGACGCCAAACATTGACATAAATGAAGATATATGCAGAAATATCATGGCTAAAACGTCTACCTATGATGGTAAAAGTGATCATGAATTTTTTCATAATTGGCTACCACACAAATATATTTTTTGAACAACAGACCATGTTTGATAAAAGACAAATAAAATTTGTAAAAGTGAAATTAGTTGATCAAGTTAAAATTTATCGGAAGAAAATGAAGATGCGGAGAGAGATTAAGGAGGGAGTTTACAATAGGAAGGCTTTAATTAAAGAACATATAAAAGAAAAATGATTGCCTTTTGTCAGATAATAATATATTTTTAATGAATTTAATTCTCTAAAACAAGGAACAAAATTATTATTAAATACATGAACAACTTCAAAGAAATTCTTGTTATGTTCTAAATTCATTAAAGATCCAAAAATAACACTAAATATATTTAACTCTGGTTTGACACCTCTTAGCCAAAGAAACGATAACTAACCACACACCATTATCAAACGTATTTTTCAACTTACAATAGACTTCAAACAAATATTAAAATTTTTTGTGTCTAAAAGAGTTACTATTTATTTAAGAAGTACATCAATTCATTAAAGTAATCAATTTCAGAAAGGTGCAACTACCATATCTAAAGGTGGTAACACTAAAATCAATAAGGATAATAAAGAATAATCAACTACATCTTCATCTGGCACTAACTGTTTGCCAAAACACTGTTAAGTGTAATCAAATTATTCATTATGCTCTTGAGCTTTCTAATATGAACTTGTTGAAGTTTATCAATTCTATGAGAAATTAGTGGATTATGAAGAAACTTTATTGGATAATTCTTTGAATGTCATGTATTGCATCATAGCTCCTCTTAAGGTAGAATATGATTGAAAGTGGTTTATTAAAAAGTACGAGTCTTAAAATTGTGCTTGCTCACACCAAAGAAGGATTGCATAAGATATGTATACAGTAATGCTATGAATAAAATCATCATCAAATGCAAATGCTATATTCCTCATTTGGATAACATGCTGGAAACGATAATTACTGCAATGTTATTTTCAAACAATGATTTGAGTAGCTAAAATCAAGTTAGAATAAGAGAAGAAGATGCACGAAAATTTGCTTTTCAAATTAAATAAGAATTATATAAATAAATGGTAATGCCTAGGGTATCTAGTACTTTTATGAACACAAGGAATTATGTTTTGTAATTTTTCATTAGAAAATTTTTGGTGTTTAGATTTTGATAACATCTAATCTAAAACAATACTCAAGCTAATCATTTGGCTCATCTTAAGAAAATATTTTTGAGGCATTGAAGAAGTTACGAGAAAAATGCTAAGTGAGTTTAGTTTCCATAAAAATATTGTCCTTG